CGGCCCGGCCCCCAGCCAGCCCCATGCGCCGTGCCAGGCCCCTGCCCAGGATGCCAGCCCAAGGGCCGTCAGCAGGGACAAGGCAGGAGAGCAGGGGGCTGGCAAAGCCTGGGGGGGGTGCAGCACACTACCCAATCCCCTCCGAGGGCTGCGGGGGTAGCTACCCAGTACCATCCTGCTCTCCAAGCCCAAAGCAGGAGTTTGGCTGCATCCCTGCTGTGCCCCATCCCACCCCTGCACGATGCCATAGGGCCACGGATGAGCTTCAGGGGGGTTGCCAGTAGTCAGAAGGGGCTGGAGGCACCCGCTCTGCCCCATCCCCTTCCCACACTTCGCAGGCAGATGCTGTGGGACAACCTTCTCCCCCAGCTTTGGCAACCCCTCAGCCAGCAGCAGGTCCTGCATCCTCCACAGCGGGAGGGTGGTGGCTCCCATCGGGGCCCTGATGAGGGGTGGGCAGTGCCACACGGAGCCACGGCCGAACCCTGCTCATCCCTGCAAACAGAGGCCCCTCCTGGGGCAACCCATGGCACCACATCTTCGGGGCACAGGTGGCATCTGCAGCCCTGCTATGGGGGACCCTCAGTCCCCGGGGTCACCGAGGAGCAGCACACTGATGGAGCAGGATTTGGTCCTTTCCCCTTCAGCCAGCACTAGGCTGCACAGTGGCAACCCAGGCTCAGAGCCACACAGCACTGGCCAGCCAGGGCAGGGGGGCAGCGCCAGGGCAGGGGCCTCAGCACCCACCTGAGCAGCACAGGAGCCCAGTGCAGGCATCCCGGGCTGGTGCACATGGCTGTTGAGCTCCCCACCATGGAGGCAGCACTCACCGTCCTCATTGCAGCCGTCCAGGCAGGTCCCACAGGAGCCAGTATCTTGCCAGCAGAGCTACTCTCTCGCAGCGGGCAGGTAGGAAGAGGGTGAAAAGACAGGAGCATAGTGTTGTCATATTCTCCTAAAATATCCCTGCCATCTTCAGGCAGCAGTGGAAAGGAGGCCATGGGGCCCAGCCTGCAGCTCCTCTCACCGGCACTTGGCCCTGGCCGGGAGCTCTGCCGAGTCACTGCCAGGATGAACAAACCCGGCAGCAGCATGAGGGCAGCGGGAAGAAGCCTCCTGCTGCCAGCTTGGCCGGGGATGGGCTCTGGCTCAGCAAAGCTGCTTGGCTGCCATGTGCTACAAGGGGACAGCACACCCCATGGGGCTTGTCCTTGGTGGGGGCTCTTTGGGGCACCTTCATCCCTCCCTGGGCAGAGCCAAACCCAGGCAGGTGCCTGGGCAGCACCAAGCCATGTCTTTGGGCACGGGTGTGGGGTGCAGAGGAGGGCGGCAGCACAGGGATCTGAGCTGCTCTGGATCTACGCCATGGTTGACGCTTGGCCCCTGCTCCAGCGATGAGGTAGTTTGCAGAAGGCTGGGATCATCCTTCCGGATCAAGCTGCAAAGGGCGGGCAGGCAAGGTGGAGGGTGTCACCAGGTCCGCAGACTGTGCTGATTGCCACCAGGAAGGAGAGAGGCTGCTCTGGCACCCAGGGAAGACCGAGACATCCCTTGGAGATGTGAGCCCACCAAGTGGCACAAGCACCACCTCCACCTGGTGGCAGCAGGATGGCCTCTAGTGCCAGGCAGTGGAGGAGAAAGCCAGACCCTCGGGAGTCAGAAGCTGATGGGTCTCACTGCCCCCAGGGTGTTGACCAGGGCAGAGATATCCCCCCGGTTATCCTTTTAGGTTTTAAGGCTTCTCCAGTGGTGATTTTTGGCAATGAGGGCAAGAGCAGAAGCGTCACCACAGAAACCACGTGGCTGGGAACACCAGCACCACCGTGCTGCAGCAAGTGACCCAGCACATGGTGAGAACCAGTCCCTTGTCCCACAAAGGGCCCTGCCAGGCAAGGAGCAGCACATCCAGCCTAGGGCCCTGGGGTCTGGAGAGTCCTGCACAGCTGGAGGTGGGTGCAGATCATGGCTCCACTGAGGGGCAGGAGCAGAGCAAGGAAGCAGAGGGGGCTGCAAGGCACGTGGAGAGGCAGCGGCGGCACTGAGGCACTGTGCCGTACCCCACTCCAGCCCATCCCCGGCTGCCCTGCTCCTTGGGGCACACCACCGACTGCTGGCACCAGCGCCAGGCAGGAGCAACCTCCAGTTTCTATAGGAACCAGATCAAACCTTAAAAGAGCCGCTCTGTACTTGCCAGTCTCTTGCTGCCACGGTGGTGGTGGTGGTGAGCTCGCAGCCGATCCTGCAGCTCTGTGCTGTCCTCGTAGGGAGAGACCATGTCCATCGTCCTGCTGTCACAGAGCCAGGAGGCAGGTGAGGTCCCTGCAGACACACGTAGTGACAGCACCAAGGGCAAGAGCCATGATAGGGGAAAAAATACCGCTGAAAAATAAAAATAGTTACTTAAGCTGCAGCCATCGATCTGTCGTGGGCACAGTGCCACCCTGCTGGGAACCCCCACCACGTGCACCGTCATGCAGCAGAGATGCCAAGAACAGCTCCTGGAGGTAAATCCTGTGCTGCTGCCTGGGAGCCCAGCCAGGGACCTGAGCTGACAGGGACAGCGACAAGACAGACTTGAGCTGCCAGAGTGTGGTTCGCATCACTCAGGGATGAGTGCAGGAAGGGATGAGGGCATCCAGAGAAGCAAGCTCAGTGGGGAGAAGTTCACAGGCAATAAATACTCCAGACACTTCTGATTTTCCATGAAGATCCTTGATCTCCGTAACAAGCTGCTGCTAGCCCCAGCAGAAATCCAGGAGCAGGGCAGGGGACGGCACAAAGGAGGCACTGTGGCCGGCAGATGCATGCTGGCCACCCGCCACTGCACAGCCCCTCCATTCATCCCATGCTCCTGCTGCAAGGGTCAGTGACATCTCCCCCCCACCCCACCCCGAGCCTGGCACCCCAGGGTCACTGCCAGCACGTGGCCCTTACACATCTGACCCACACCCTCAAGTCCCCGGCCCTCTCCCAGGGGCTGAGGACCCCAGACACATGCAGTTGCTAATTACCTTCCCAAGAAAATGCATTTTAAGCTGGTAGGAGCTTACAGCATAAAGCTGCCCAGCAATGCCCCTGCCACAACATCCAAGTGTCCATGCTGACAGCTGCCCCCTGTCAAAGTGTGTCCCCAGGGAGCAGCAGTGAACCGCTCTGCTCCAGACACTCCTGGTGTCTTCCAGCAGCCACAGCATCGCCCCTGTCCCCAGGCAACAAGAGGGCAGGAGGGAAGGGCAAGTGGTATCTGCACAGGATCTTGCAGCATCAACACGGTCCCTGCCAGACCGAGTCCCTCCAAACACTCATGACATCAGGCAACTGCTACAGAGACACGTTTGTCCCCGAGACCAGCAGCAAAGGAAGGTCTGTGTCCCATTGCCTGCAGCTGAACCAGCATCTCGTGGCCCGGAGCAGAGATGAAGCTCTGGGAACTGTGTTGGTCCAGGTCCAGCAGCGATGGAGGCGGCTGCGGTGGCAGCTGCCCTCTGCGGGCACAGGAAAGGGAGAGCAGAGCCCTCCACGGCACCCGCGGTGACAATGACACTGCACGCTGGATGGCATTCAGCAATGCGGCCACGAGCAGGGCACGGGGACAGCCCAGCAATGCTGCGGGGACTTGTTCTGCAGCACTCCCAGCAAACACTGCAAGCCCAGCAGCTCACAAGAAAGCAGTGAAGGTTTCTAGGACCTGAGCTCCCAACTCGGGAGTGTGGGTAGGCGTCACCAGGGCCAGGACTGCACTTGTGAAAAGGAGCTGCCACTCTTTCCCTGCACCCAAAACCAGTCCCTCTCATGGCAGGCTGGGATCATGAGGCCAATTTTTAGTTTTTAACTACTTCCCCCAGGCAAAGTGAATTTGGCTCTGGAAAATCCAATTCCAGGACTTGTACTGCAGGCCACCCAGTGAGCTGTCACCAGGACAGGGGTGAGGGGCTCTGTAGCACCGCACCCACTGCCCCAGGTGCTCAGAAGAGGCAGGGGTAGGTGCCAGTAGCACAGCTTTGCCCACTCCGAAGGGACGCATCTCTCAACCAGCACGCTGAACACACCCATGTTTGGAATCTCAAGTTGTGTTGCTATGAGTAGGTATGAAAGGACAAGTAACTTCCACAGCAGCACGCAGCAGCGATGCTGAACACACCTGGCTGGGACAGGAGATAGGGCTGTTTGACTCGGGTGTGGTGCCGCTCCCTCCCGTAACCCAGCAGCCTGCCAGCTCCAGCTGTGATTCCACATTACCAAACCAGCACAACTGTTCAGAGAGGCTTATTTATCCAGCAAGTTCTTTCACGGGAATGTTTCCCGCTATGAGCCAGCTTTATTAAATCATTGAGTCTTCCAGACTCTTGCAGGAGGGGCAGCATCACCTCCCTGTTCACTGCAGGCCAAGGGGCCTGGGGCAGGAGAGCTGCCTCTCCCCCTGCACGCTCCGGCTCATTTAATTTCCCCAGCTCTAAGGGGAACTGCCATCGCCAGTGATGTAAAGCAGCTCGGAGTGGTTTGAGCAGAAACGCCACCTGCTGTACATCTCCCTGAAAGACAGACGGGTTCGGGTGCCAGACGGGAAACCTCCCGCACACCCCAAAACACGGCTCTCGGCCAAGGCTTCTCCTGCCAGGCACCCAAGGTCGCCCCAGGGCCCCCTCTCCGGCCCGCAATACCACGTAGGGAGTGTAAAACACAGTAGAGGGAAGGGTGCAGTACTCAAACCCTTCCTCTGGGAATTTGATGAAAAGTTTGGAGCCTGAATTTTGGAACATCTGAAGAGGTCAGGAGAGCCAGACCTCCTGCCAGGCCTTCCGGCCAGCATCCCCACTGTTAACACCGTCCCCCTCGGACACCACATCAACTCTCCGACTGACTCGGTTCATTCCCCAGAGCCCTGCCGCCCCTTGTCAGGAGCTGGGGGACTCAAGGGTCCCCCTCACACCCAGCACAGCCACCTGCACCTCCTGCCCAGGGACTCAGCCTCTGCCCACAGGTCTGGAGAGGACAGAGGGACTTCGGCTGCCCTTCACCTTCTTGGGTATACAGCCAAGACTTTCTTAAAATTACACTAATATAGGTACATTCCACTGGTATTTGTACACAAAGAGTCTTTGGCAGCCTCCCTGCTTGAAGTTAAATGCATCTATTGATCTTTTTGCAAGATCACAGCTCAGAAGCGTAATTTAACAAGACCTTCCTTCGCAATGCCAAGGAACCACATCGATGCAGAAATCAGGAGACATTGGAACAGGACATTTCTCTTACAGAACACAATTTATTTGGCATTTGGATGAAATGTTTCTCACAGCATCTTGAGGAAAAAAAAAGGAAGATTAGTGCCAACCCCAAATAAAGAAGTTAAAACAAAAAAACAGTGTCACAGGGACTGAATTATTATAGTATCAAATTTAAATTCTACATGGTATTTCACAGAATATCAAAATCTTTTATACACTGCCACAGTTAAGTCCAGTCACAAACCAACTACACAGGAGAAGCCTGCAAATGCAGCGTTGGCTAAAATTATTTTCCAGGAGAAGGTAAAAATCAATGTCTCATTCTCTCTCACAGCCTCCCTTCCCAGGCATCCACCAGCCCGACGCTCGGGCACAGCGCAGCACGGCCCTGCACGCAGCCTGCAAGCGCAGCATCTCCGCTGGCGTCAACTCCAACCCACTCAACATTCAAGGTGCACAATACTGGAAAATTAAAGCTATGTCGTACCGTAGCAGGCAGGTAATGCAGACTGTTGTTAGGGGAAGCAGATCTTTGCCACCAAAAGCATCTATTCCAAAGAAACACCTATTCCATTTGCAACTGGGGAAGTCAGAAGCAAAATGCATGAATTTTGATTTGCCTCCTCTACACTCATCTGCTCTAATTTTAGGGTGCAGCTCCCAACTTGTAAGGGAAATTTAAAAGAAATTTCTGTATATTGCATGTTCCTTAGCTAGGGAGAAAAAAATGTTTCAGCAACTGAAAAAAAGTAGACGTGTTATGGATTGTATGAGGCAATTATGATGTCAGTGCTTTGCCACTGAAAAGCCACATCTGAAAGACAAGAAAAAACATCTTTAAAAACAGCTTCAAATTAATTTAACATTAGATGGAAAAAAAAACAGTAATAATTACTGATCACAAAAACATTTTCTTCCTAAGTGAAACTTGAGAGGTGCACAAACAGGCCATCACCCCACAACACCTGTGGAGGCAGAGCACCTGTTGACTGTAAGATGAAGCCTTCAGAAAAGGTTTTCCACCTACTTCATTCTTCTTCTAGATCAGCATCTTGGCATGGATGGGTAAAGGAATAGTGTGAGGCTCAAGACTAGACAAGAGCGAACATTAAGCAGACAAGCTGTACATCTGAATGACAGTTCTGATCTAGCACAGAATGAAACCCACCATCCTTCTAACATTGCTCTACAACTCACCTAATAGAGAAATTAGAGGCTGCTGTGAGACTGTGTACAGGTACCACCAGTACCACCGAGAGAAGTGACTACCTAGGGCTGTTCTTGAAGAACAGCAGAGACCTCAATATGGCACCACAGTACGTCATAAGGACGGGGCATCGAGAACCTGAGGAGCGGTTCTGTCCCAGGCCACGATGGGAGGCGCGAGCCCTGTGCAGAACTGAGCGCTGCGACTTCACAGCAACTGCAGCCAAAGACATCCTAGAGAAATGCTGCAGTAATGCCAGCAACTCCACTGGGGCTGGAGGGGTATTTGGGATGTGTCAGTGGTTAAGAAAAACATCCAGAGGAGTAAAGGGGTGTGGGGGGTGTGGAATTCAATGTACAAAATAACTCCAAAGATCTCATCAATAGAATGGCCATCAAAACAGAAAGGTCTTCCTCAGGCAAGCATCAACCCTCTGTAATTGGTGCTCAGGACACACTGCTTACCAGTCACCTTGCCAAGGGCAAGGAAGGTTTGCTGAGGAGTCAACTGCTGTCAAGAAAACAACTCTTCCCCAGTTGGTCCAGAGGTCTGAGTAGTTGTGACGTTTTCTGCTACAAAGGCTCTTACTCCAAGAGAAAGTACTCAATGTGAAAAAGCTACATTAAAAGGAAAAAAAATGACAATTTTATTGCCAAATTAGAAGCTCACTGAGAGGTAAACAAGCTGTACTTAGTGAGCTGCTCCGTTCAAGGCAAAATTTCCCTTGTTTACAGTTAAGATGAAGAAGGATAGGGGAAAAAGGGAGAAAATAGCAGCCTCCGTGCCAATACACAAGTGGGAAAGGCTCAGAAGCAATGCGGAAAATATCACACTGAGGCTTCTACAAAG